CTCCGGTTTTCTCCAAAATCACCCGGAACACTTCCGGTGTCCGAATATAGTCGTCCAATATATCAATCTTTATGTCTCGACCATTTCGAGACTCTTCGTCATGTCCGTGATCACATCCGGGACTCCGAACAAACTTCGTTACATCAAAACTTGTAAACTCATAATAAAACTGTCATCGTAATGTTAAGCGTGCGGACCCTACGGGTTCGAGAACTATGTAGACATGACCTAGAACTATTCTCGGTCAATAACCAATAGTGGAACCTGGATGCCCATATTGGTTCCTACATATTCTACGAAGATCTTTATCGGTCAAACCGCATAACAATATACGTTGTTCCCTTTGTCATCGGTATGTTACTTGCCCGAGATTTGATCGTCGGTATCTAATACCTAGTTCAATCTCGTTACCGGCAAGTCTCTTTACTCGTTCCGTAATGCATCATTCCGTAACCAACTCATTTGGTCACATTGCTTGCAAGGCTTATAAAGATGTGCATTACCGAGAGGGCCCAGAGATACCTCTCCGACAATCGGAGTGACAAAACCTAATCTCGAAATACGCCAACTCAACATGTACCTTCGGAGACACCTGTAGTGTTCCTTTATAATCACCCAGTTACGTTGTGACGTTTGGTAGTACCCAAAGTGTTCCTCCGGTAAACGGGAGTTGCATAATCTCATAGTTACAGGAACATGTATAAGTCATGAAGAAAGCAATAGCAACATACTAAACGATCAAGTGCTAGGCTAACGGAATGGGTCATGTCAATCACATCATTATCCTAATGATGTGACCTCATTAATCAAATGACAACACATGTCTATGGTTAGGAAACATAACCATCTTTGATTAATGAGCTAGTCAAGTAGAGGCATACTAGTGACTATATGTTTGTCTATGTATTCACACATGTATCATGTTTCCGGTTAATACAATTCTAGCATGAATAATAAACATTTATCATGAAATAAGGAAATAAATAATAACTTTATTATTGCCTCTAGGGCATATTTCCTTCAGGTGGTGCGACAGCCCCGCATAGGGCGGCACCGGCGGCGCACCGTAGGGCACCGGCCAGGCCGACGAGGACGGCAGCATGGCGCCAAGGGTCGACGCAGGGGCGCCATACCAGGGCGAGAAAGACGGAGGAGCCGCGACAGGCGCGGGTGCAGAGTTGCGAGGACCCGGCAGCACAGGAACGATGGTCGAGGAAGGAGCGCCAGAAGAGGCCGGCGCGGGCAGGCCGCCTGTCCCGCTCGGTCCGATCTGACCTGCAGGAGTCCCACCGGGCGGCTGAGCTTGCCACCAGGCCGTAGCCAGCGGGCGGGACGCCATGAAGGCCGACGAGGGAGCGGCTGTGGAGGCCGGTGCTTGGGCCGGTGCAGCGAGGGTGAGATTGGAGGAAGCCGAGGCGGCGGCGGCGGCGGCGGCAGCGGCAAGGGCAACGGAAGACATCGAAACCCTAAACTGATACCATGTAAAACATATAGTTTGGGAAACTACCCGACACCCTAAACGGGCTATCTCATTATATGATAGTACCAAAGGGTACAATACAATTACAGGTGTATACAAGAGTCCTCGTATATATACAGTCTAACATAAACCACCACCGCAATGACATCAAAATCATCTGGAGCTTTAAACTATAACCGCACCTTGCAGCATCTTTGCTAATCCTTTGGAAAATCTGTGATTCGAAGAACGCTTGGGTATGTAGGAAAATTTGTCTCACGGCTACGGATGTAATGAAAAATATTTTGGATGATCTGTTACTTTGGTCGCATAGGCTAAAAAAACCAGAGCAAAAGATAGACGCCTGTCTGTGGCATGACTACATTTTCTCTCGGTAAATGATACAATGTCCACCAATCTGAAGTAATGAACTGCACATTAGCAGAATGTAGTGCAATGGATCAAAATTCGCATAATTCTTGTCAGAACTCTTTGTGGCACCTGAACCTATGTGACAGAAATGTACTTGCATGTAGTGTGTATTACAGTTTTGATACTGTGAAGTGATTCTGAGAGACAGAGAGTTGAAATATGTTTAACAATGAGGTTAGCAACCAACTCTCATGATCCCAGCGAGCATATGGAGGGTATATATTGAGCCCAACACTATCGAAGAAACTTGACAAGCATGTGGCATGTATGACAAGGAGTAACATGCATGCCTCATGAGCTATTTTTCAAATAAGATTGTTATTTATGGGTGCAAAAACCTATACATCCGGGAAGCATGTGACAGGACTTTGTCCATGGTCTGTCACACTACTCGGATAATCTTCCTTAGATTTGATTATATATTAGCTAAATAAAATTCAAAGTATCAGATGCAAACTTCAAAAGTACTTACCCAAATACATAGAAAGTTAACAGCAATAGAAAAACCGAAATGATAAGTGACACACGTCAGGTATATGGAACTCCGGCCTTGCCTTCCTACAGCCCTCGTGGCCTTCTTTTCCATTCATCTGATCAACTTAAATAGTCGGTACAAATGACTCCACACCAAGCCACTAACTAATCCATGCATGCAACCATTGACTAGATAACTCACTAGCTAATGACCCGGCTAACTACACATACACACGACTAGATGACTCACTCCATGCAAATACAATCAATATGACAAGATTAATGCTAACACCCATGAGCATCTCGATGTTTACCATCTTGACCATTGACGCCGCAAACCACACCTTCCACGTTGTTGAGTCAGCAGTGCTTTCAGCTACGATCGCTGGCATGTCACAGCAGGTGAGCAGCGGCGCGTCCATTAAACCTCAGTAATCTTTCATAGACTTGATTATATACTAACCCCACCGACGTTTTTTAACACTAGTGTAGTGTCAAAGAACGTCTTTAAAAACACATGAACAGGAGCCCTGAATGAATAAGAAATCGCTGCTATAACAGAGAGTTGCCCCAGATCCTACAATGTGGTTCTCTACTTTCGGCTGGCTGCCAGATCAGTGTATTTATACAAAAGTGTAGACAAAGATTCTGACAAAGGTAACTACTACCAAGAAGCGAACTCATAGAGATGAAGAGAGAGAAGTTAGCTGCAACCGATCATCGGAGGAAGCAGGCTTACAAGAAACTGATGGGACGATCGGAAGAAGAGAGTGATAACATGTTTCTAGTTGATAACCTTCCGCATTTCTTATTGGGATATATTTCATACGGACGGAGGGTGTAAGATTCAAAGTATCAAACACATCCGCGGACTTAGAAAGAACTTATCCAAATAGGCAGGAAATCACCAGCAATTAAAAAAAGTGCACCTTTTCTGGCCAAGTAAAAAATCGTTCTTTGAGGTTACAAAAAACCAGCTAAGTAGTTTTACATGTGAATCATCTAACCAAAATACCACAGTAACTGACCGGCTGTCACAAGGAGAAATCTTGAATGCAGTGCAAAATGAGGCACAGAAGAAAAATCACCAAATCTAAGTGTCTCTTAACAATTTAGCTGTTTACGGCACGGCAGAACTTCCTGACCTGCCCATTCGTCCCCGTGAGCACCTCGATGTTTCCCATCTTGACCATCGACGCCGCGAACCGCACCTTCCACAACAAGGAGTCAGCAGCGCTTTCCTCAACCTTCGCCCTCGTGTCGTTGCGGGTGAGCAGCGCCGCATCCGACGTGAACAACACTCGCCTGGCAACGACGTTCTTGAAGAACTGGTTGCTTAGCGTCGTCGGCGCCACAACGCTGTTGTTCACCACCGGGTCCGGCGCACCGTGCACGGGCTGTGGGCACGTCTTCTTTAAGTCTGTCGCGTATGCAGCGTCCATCGTCGTGTCCACCTCGGGGTACAGCCGGTTGGTGAAGCCGGAGCAGTGCGCCACACCGATGGAGTGCGCGCCGGAGAGAGCCACCAGGTCGTCGAGGTTGAGCCCCTTGTTGGTGAAGCTGTTGACGAGATCCTCAATTCCAAAGAAAGGCGACGGCATGTTTGTGAAGACAGAGAAGGCTTTGGACACGTTGCCGTCACGCCGACCGGAGCGGACGTGGTAGGAGAAACCGGCAGATTTACTGACAGAGTCGCGTGCGGCGAAGGCGAGGATGTCGGCGCAGGAGACCGTCAAAGGACACACAGCCTCGACGGCCGCCTTGATCTTGTCGACGGCCTCATACCCAGCCAAGGGAATGGCTGACTTTTCCGGCTGGGGGTTGGCGTTCGAGGAGTCCAGAAGGATGGAAGCGTCACAACCCTAGTGACATCAACGGCCAAAGTTGTTAGCTCAACGCAGAAACATATAAAAATTAAGCTAAGTGTAGACATTGTAGAACTATTTTCAATAAATGGAAACTAAATCATATTTGAAGCAATGGTATATATATTGGGATGTCCATAAACGTAAGTAAAATAAGAAGGAAATGTTATATCTATGAAATTAGAAGTTGATTACGTACCATGACAAAGCAATCGTGGAAATGCATGCGAATTAAGGCCGCAGCAATACTTGGGTTGCCATCGATCAAGTTGTAGACGGTATTCTTGATTGTTTCCTCGGCGTTCGGGCACGATGAACTGTAGAAATTGTAGGGCAATTCTGCAGATGACATGGTGATGAGCGTAGCGTGTAAGGCTACCATGAGCAGCTGCACGCATGTCAGCTTCACCATCTTGCCCATCTTCCTGAAGTTCTTGGCTAAATAATAAGGGATATTATCAAATGGGTGGCAAATGCGCCTGAAAGAATGTATGCCGGCAGATGATGTGATGTGCAAGGCATTGGATGTATTTATAGAGCCGTACATGTTACAGATGCATGCAATGATCAATCAGCATGGACATTTCAATTAAGTAAGGGATTTGAGGAATATTTGGGGGGGTCAATAATCACAAGAAATTAGCCAGTTGTTGTCTATGAACATGGGGAGCAACACACCCAATCGTTCAACGGTGTGTAGGCGTTGACATCAATTGCACGCCTATCCTGGTACCGGTGGATTTCTATATATAATTTGAGGGTTGTTTTAACTGACCTATTTGACCTATAACGACACCGGTTGTGCTTTAATTATTGGTTTGTTTGTCCTAATCATTTGGGACTGAGTTGACTTGTTTTCTCGGTGTAATGCTAGCTAAAATACTAATACCCGCATAAATATGAATTAGTCGCTAAAATCTGAGTAAATTGCACCCACGGTCTTAATCTTGTCTTGCAGGTGAACATGCGTCGAACGACTATTTGTGTTGTGCTAATCACACGACTTCACAAAAGCGTTCCTCAGAGATCAAAAACAGCCGACGCCGGACAATATCATGCTGACATGTTTCTTCTTCTTTTTAGCAAAAGAAACCCTTTGATGTGCAATGAATTTGATGTATTTATTTAGATGTATGTAACTAGTAATCAGTTTGGATATTTAAATAAAAAGCAGGTGGTTTGAGGAATATTTGGAGGTCAATGATTACAAGAACATTAGCTAGTTTTTGTCCAAGAACATGGGGGAGCAACACAGCTAACCGTTCAACGCCATGTTGGCATTGACATGCATTAGTTGCATGCCTGTCCAAGTATCGGTGGATTCAATAGAGAATTTGATAGTTGTCTTAATTGAAGTATTGGCATTAACAACAATGCATGCATGTTTATTATTAATTGCTGCTTTCTTTGTGCTAATAATTTGGAACAAAATTCACTTTTTTTCATTGTCTCTGCATTTTGAAGTTTTCGTTGATGTTTCCTTATGTCATACTATAATGCTAGCTAAAACACTTTAGAATACCCGCATCTCTAAAAAATAGTAGCTAAAATTTGAGTAAATTGCACCGACATTCATAAAACAAGTCTTGCAAGTGAACATGGGTCACCAAATTTTGTTGTTCTAAATTTCTAATCGCACAGTTTCACAAAACATTCCTTGGAGATCACAAACAGCCTGCGTCGGACAATATCGTGCTGACATGCCTGTTTCTTCTTCTTCTTCTTCTTAGGGAAAAGACACCTTTGATGTGCAACGCATTGGATGCATTTGGAAAGATGCATGTAATCAACTTGGGAATTTAAATAAAATAAGGGATTCGGGGAATATCTGGAGGTCAATAATCACAAGAATATAACCAACTTTTTGTCCAAGAACATGTGGAGCAACACAAGTAATCGTTCAAAAAGTGTGTAGGCGTACTGGTTGGCATGCATTAGTTGCATGCCTGTCCTAGTACCATTTGATTTCCATAGAGAATTTGACGGTTGTCTTAATTGAAGTATTTGACCTATAACAACGTTGGTTGTGCCATTAACAACAACACATGCATGTTTATTAGTACTAGTATTAACGAATGGTTTGTTCCCCGTAATCATTTGGAATGGATTACTTTTGTGTGTGTACCGCTTCTAGCGGATTCTGATGTTTAAGTTGATTTTTTATACAGTATTTCTAAGGATGCTAATTGGAACACTTTATAACACCTTCATCTCTATAAATAACTTAGAAGTATGTGTGTTTACTTTCTGTGTAGTTCAACAAGTACTTCAGAAGTATGTGTGTGTTTGATACTTTGACTTTTATTTAGCTTGTATATAATCAAGTCTAAGGAAGATTACCCAGATAGTGCGGCAACCATGGATAAATCCTATCACTGTCACACGCTACATGGATGGTTTTTGCACCCAAAAATAAAAATCTAATTGGTAATACGGGTCATGAGTTGTACATGTTACATGGTATGATCCTTGTCACATGCTAGCATAGTCGCAAATTAAGCATGCTACCATCAAACAAATCCGTGCAAGATATCACATTGTGCTGTGCCAAATTGTGAACAAATCAAATAAGGGTAAGCAAAGAGTATGTTGAAACACTCGACCGACTCATACAATTGGCGGACACAATGACGGTGGGAAACTAGCATAGAGTCGATCAGGCAAGATGGCTTTGCTAAACCCAGCAAACAGCTCGACCTGCAATGTCTTGAGGTCCACTGGGAAGAATCCAAACTTCAACACTTCCTGTGATAGCTCCTCTTGTGAAGGTAAAAAGCATCAGTGCTATGGTCTGAATTACAAATACATCAGTTGTGCCATTAACAACAACGAATGCATGTTTATTATTAAGTACTGTTAGAACATCTACAACGCGCCCTATATCCATCTCATACACTCGGGCAGGCCGTCCGGTCACTGACCCGTCACAAAATACGACCCAACCGGAGCTCTCAAACAAGCCTCAAACGCCCAGGCTGGCCGACACCCCTCATATCCGTCCCAAATGTAGGACGGATATGAGGCGGTCCTGGCACGCCCAGGCGCGCCCCCCACATCAGCCCGGCCCATCGTCGGCCCACCCGACCCCACAAAATCCCCCATCCGGTATAAACCCTAGCTCACTCTGCTCCGCTCCCCTTCTCGATGGTCCCATTTCACCAATTCGCCAAATCCCTAGCGCTGGCGACCATGTCCAGCACCGACAGCCACTCCGATGGCAGCTTCGGAGAATAGGAGGAGCTGGCGCTACGTATCGCGCTCGAGCACTTGTGGGTTGATATGGGCGGCAGCTCCAGGTCCGGTGCGACGCCCCCTGTCGCCCGTCGCGCCAGCGCCAGCCCTTCCCGCCCCGCGTGTGGATCAGCGAGGCCTTCGAGAACTTCTCCTCCTACCCGACGGCCTCCTCCACCTCCGACCACTGCTCCGTGCGGGCAGTGCTGGGTTCTAGTGCCCGCTCAGCCGATGCCGCGGATGCGGACTCCGGAGTTGGAGGCATGAGCTGCCCGCCGCGAGAGGCAGAGGGCTAGGGAGATGGCAGGCGGGTCCGATGGATCTGTGCACTCCGCCCGCCGTTGCCGGGTGTCCGACAAGGAGGACCGTCTCTTTGAGTGGGCGTGCCGCCGGTCATTGAATGAGGCGGAGACGGAGGCCTGACGGCTCCGGAGGGTCAACGCCAAGCAACTCTGGCTTAGTACTGAGCAAACCAAACAGGAGGCGACAAAGGCAGCGAGAGAGGCGGCGAGGGTGGCCAAACTCAAGCGCCAGCAAGACCGCGTCGTCCGGCGCTTGCAAGGCTTTGTCGTCATCTCTGATTCCTCCTCCTCTGACGGGTCCGACGGCTCCGACGTCGACCTACCTCCTGCCACGGACTCCTACAGCCACGCCGGCGACCGGAAGGTCAAAGGGCCGGCGAGGAAGTGGTGAAAATTTGTCTTTATTTCAAGTTTTTAGTTGTAGATTGAACTTGTCCACCGTATTATGTGTATTATGTGAACTTTGGCTATCTTTTGATGATCCGGCTGTGATCTTTTGATGAACTGATTGTGCATTTGTATGTCTGCTCATGATCTACATACTTTTTATCAACGTTGCATGATTTAGTATGAAAATAGGGGACGGAATATGAGATACGTGGGTGTGGAGACGCGGATATACGGAGTGCTCGGTCAGTGCCCGCGGACGCGCCTTTGAGGGGCCGGATTTGCTGAGTCCGACTGTAGATGCTCTTATGTTCCCCTAAACAGTTGGAATGGGTCTGTGTTAAAAAACCATTTGGAATGACTTTCTTTTTTTATGAGCTGCTTCTAGCGTTTTTTTAATTTGATTTGATTTTGTACACTGTATTTCTAAGGATGCTGGTGTTATTAAATTTTCCTAGAAGTATGTGTATGTTTACTTTCAAGTTAATTCATTGAGCACTTTAGAAATATTTATGTGTTTGACACATTGACTTTTCTTTAGCTAGTATATAATCAAGTCCAAGGGAGATTACCTGGATAGTGTGATAACCATGGACAAATCCTATTACACGCTACATGGATGGTAGGTTTTTGCACCCAAAAATAATAATCTAATTGGCAACGCATCTCATGAGTTGTACATGTTACTTGGTAGTATCATACTTGTCACATGATAGTCAAGTTTATTCATGGTGTTGGGCTCAATATATAGCCTCTCATGTTTCACCATATTCATTCATGTTTGTTATCCAACCCTTTGCTTATTTAGCCGTGAATCAAAATGCGACCTTTATCTCCCAAACATCATTTTGATGATCTAGGAGTCATATCCACAAGTATAATTTTTTGTGTGTGATGGTGCAACTTAAGGTATTAGAGGAAATTGACAAGCTCATATTCGAAGGAGGGTGTGTGCTCCATCTACAACATCATGGAACAGGCAGAGACACCGACAGGGCTGTCGGCGATGCCAGCCACGCGGAGAGAGGGGAGCATGGGCCAGCCCTTGGATTTTCAGTGGCAGTCTACCTCATCTAGTGGGCTCAACAAAAAGCACGTTGGTGTGTCTCCTTGCTCCATGATTATCAGTGGCAGTCTACAACAAAAAGCACCGGCTTCAATTCTCCGATCTAACATTTGTTTTCCTGATGTGCTTGGACCATGTGGAGATGGCAAACGGACAAGATATATGTATATAAACTGGATTCGGTACTTCAGCATATAAACTGGACTGCGAATCATAAAAGTCTGAAACTCATATTAATCTGAACTAAGCAAATCTGAATTGGAACTTGAATAAGCAAACATTACAGATGAAAGCTACTTTTCAACTTACACTATTTCGGTTTGCAGATAACCTATGTGCTCATGTAGCACGGGAAGAGCATCACCCCCTTAAAGCTCAAATGAAGTGCAAAATGTCTTTCCCCCCTCGCCATCCTTATGCCCGGTGAATTTACCG